ACCTTTTTTTAATCACTGGTCTGCATTTTTTTATTTTCTTTTTTCAGCCTGCTGTTGAAGATTGGAAGGCGGAGTACATGTTCCAGCTGATGTTCAATCCTTCGAACATATTGTATTATGAAGACATGCCACTTGAGCTACATGATCTGATTGCGGACCTCGGGCTCACTTCCCTGTCGCAATCGCAGATGCAGTAACAGTCATTTGGGCACTGTTTTCTACTGGGGCAAAAGCATGTGCGTGGACAAGAACTAGGGTTGATGTTGTGTATGTGTGTGCTGACTAAAGTAGATAATGTGTGAAAAAGACTTTTTTCTGTCATTGTGTTTTTCCTTGTTCTTTTTGCAGCAGTGTATGTGGACGAATTTGTATGTGGACGAATTTGTATGTGTATGTGTATTTTATATAAATAACTCATACAGTATACATAAGTGTATATTTTTATTTTGTCGAGGACCATGTTCTGTGTGAACTGGCATTTTTCACGCTTATATGTATCGTATGTGTTCCATAAACTGCATCACATTTGATGCCGAACTTCTTTGTCCAACAAAAAGCACTGTATTTTTCTGTCTACAAAGTTCAGCGCTGCACCTGTGTGTATGCCAAAACTGAATTGCTTTATGATACTGCATTGCTTTTTCCCTCAACAAAACGACTGCTTTTGCCTAAAGTTGCATTTTGCAGTCAGTTTTTTTATTGTTTGTACGGTAAGGTGGACGGGGGGGTTGCCCCCCCCCCCAATTTTTTTAGTTGTCTATAGATTTGTATTGCTTCTGTATGCATTGCGTGCGTTAGCGCGAGGCCGAGCAAGGGGTGGGGAGGGGGATCGTGACCCCCCTCCCCATCCCCCTGCGAGGCCTAGCCTAGAACAAGCCGGAGCAGGCGGCGATGCGGCGTGTCGCGGCGCCGCATGCGTAGGCGAGTGCGTCACACCCCGTCGCCCCCTGTCTATCTTAGGGGGTGTGGCTCTGGGGTTATGTGCGTCCCATTTGTTGAAAAAACAGAATGTCCGCAATACGCCTGTCAACCAAGCGCACTGTGTGCGTTAGCACGAGGCCAAGCAGGGGGTGGGGAGGGGGTCGTGATGCCCCCTCCCCATCCCCCTACGAGGACGAGCCTGGAATGAGCCAGAGCAGGCGGCGACACGGTGTGTCGCGGCGCCGCATGCGTAGGCATGTCCGTCACACCCCATCGCCCCCTGTCTATCTTACGGATGTGGCTCTGGGGTTGCGTGCGTCCCATTTGTTGGAAAAACAGAATGTCTGCACTACGCCTGTCAACCAAGCGCACTGCATGCGTTAGCGCGAGGCCGAGCAGGGGATGGAGAGGGGAGGTCGTGACCCCCCTCCCTATCCCCCTACGAGGCCGAGCCTAGAACGAGCCGGAGCAGGCGGCGATGCGGCGTACCGCGGCACCGCATGCGTAGGCAAGTCCATCACACCCTGCCGCCCCTTGTCTATCTTAGGGGTGTGGCTCTGGGGTTGCGTGTGTCACATTTGTTGGAAAAACATAATGTTCGCACTGCGCCTCTCAACCAAGCGCACTGCGTGTGTTAGCGCGAGGCCGGGCAGGGGGTGGGGAGGGGGGGTCATGACCCCCTCCCCATCCCCTGTGAGGTCGAGCCTAGAACGAGCCGGAGCAGGCGGCGATGCGACGTGCCGCGGCGCCGCATGCACAGGCGAGTCCGTCACACCCCGTCGCCCCCTGTCTATCTTAGGGGTGTGGCTCTGGGGTTGCGTGCGTCCCATTTGTTGGAAAAATAGAATGTCCGGGGCCTGGTTGCAGCTGGGTGATCAATTTCTTTTCCTTATCTGAAGCATTTTTTCTTTTTGGATGATATATATTTTCATGGTAGTACAAATGATGTCACTTGTACTGCTTGCACCAACGTTGAGTATTGCACTGCATGTAGCAAGTCTGTGTGTTGGGCACCGCATGAAAGTTGCGGCTGCCCTTGTCGTTCTATATTTATGCATGTACTGCACTTCATGTATACACTTCGTGAACTGCCTTATATTTGTCCTGTGCACTGTATTCACGTTTGTTTAGAATGGTCTGGAGATTATATTTTTTTAGAAATATTAATATTAATGTTCTTTTTCTAAAATTACTTTTTGTGGACTGCATGTGGACACATGTGTACTCCTTTTTTTACCATTTGTGAACTGCATTAATCTTTTCTTTTTTATGTATGAGTTTGTAGTCATATTATGTAAAAAAATGTTTAATGTTGTTTTTTAATATGTTTTGTATGTGAATACTATGTTTTGGTATCACACATAAAAAATTTCAAAGTTGTCTAGATACTTGTTCTAATACAAACTAAGTTCTGCGAAAGCAATTGATCACAAGCAAACTGACATTGTTTTTACAAATGAAATGTTCAATATGACGCAACGGACATCATCAAAAGATTGCATACATGAAACAAAGAACAACACAATGACTAAAGTAAATTGTAACTAAACATAGCCCTGATTTTTTCTAGTTGCTGTTTTGGATTACGGCCTTGTCACTACAGGAAACAGATAATTTGCCGTCTGTGGATCACAGACGGCAAAGACCTAAATCCAGACGGCAAAGATTTTGCCGTCAAAAAGCAGACGGCAAACTCAGACGGCAAAGAATAGCCGGCAAAGAATACTTTGCCGTCAGCTTTTCATCGGGAAGACGGCAAAGACTTTGCCATCAGCCAACTATCCATTTGTCGTCTGCCATAAAAATAACAGACGGCAAAGTTTGCATCTTTTGCTGTCAGGCAATTTCGTCTTTACCGTCAGTTGACTCCATCTTTGCCACCATCCTCGAACCCACAGACGGCAAAGAGATTTTGTTTTGTTTAAATATAAAAACAACAATGCTTAGGTGGACACGCTAAGGAAACGTACTCGGTGAAGGAAAAGCATGCGGTAAGGAAACGTACGACCCAGAACCGCTTAAGTGCTTGTATATATGTGGTGGTTACACTTTACATAAAAGACCCCCACATAAAAAGAAAGAAGAAATTAGTCCTGGTTTCTTGCAAGAACCTTACAAAAATTTGTAAAAAAGAAATCTAATCTTCGTCTTCTCCTGGGCAAGGCAGGGCCGGCGACGTGGCTGGGTGAGGTAGGGCCGGTGGCGCGCACGGAGGGGCGAGGTAGGGCCGGTGGCGCGCACGGAGGGGCGAGGCAGGGAGGTCCGGTGGGGACACGCGCATCAGATCCGGCGGTGGCTGCTCGACCTCAACCAGATCCGCAGGGTCGCGCGCGCGACGGCAGGAACTCGATCTATGGTAGGTTCAACGACCTCCATGGCCAGCTCCTGCAGATGGTGGAGGGATAGAAAGAACTTCAGGTCTAGGCAAAGAAACGAGGAAAGGGAGAAGAGCTCGGGCCGTCCCGTGGGAGTGCGGGGTCGGCGGGTGGTGGGCGTGGACGGAAGCTTCGACGGGGAGGTGGTGACAGGAGGCCGCCACAGGCCAGCGCAGCGGAGGCGACGGGCCGGCCGCGCCGGGGCGACGCCGCACCGGGTCGGCACAGCGGAGGCAACGAGCGATGCGCTAGCCACACCGGGGGCGACGGGGGTAGGGGTCGGCCACGCCGGAGGCT